GCATCTAAACTTCACAGCATCAGGAGACTCACAAAAAAATCATAGAAGTATTCATTCTGTGCATCAGACGTTTTCCTGATTGTTTACAACTTGTTAACTGCACTTATGCACAGGGGCTGCTGCTCGCTGTATCCTGCAGTTATGGCAGGTGTATCAGATGAAACTAGGTGCACGCTTCATTGGCTTTGCAAGTGATGGTGCAGAAAAAGGTGTAAAAAGCCCAACCTTTATCTCACTCTCGTTTTCCTCACTGCATCATTCACAAGTTACAACCTGCGATTCAAGACGGTGCAGAACACGTGAGTCAGTGCGAGTCACTTCTGACTGATGACTGCGATACTGGCGTGAGTTTTTAAGGATATCCTGAACTTTCCTGTTGGTAAGTGCTGCTTTTTTTTTTACTGCTGTTAGCCAGCAACGGTGAAACTTCCTTTGAAGTGGATCAAACATGGGAAAGAATAACTCCCCAGGAAGAAGCATCTGGCAGGACTAGGCTCAGGGAGGGGAATCCATCTGCAGCGAGGGGTTTGGGGCGAGAAAAGACAGGAGAGATAAACACGTGAAAATGTGATCAAGCTGTTCAGAGGGAAAGTTTGATTTTTAGGACACTTGAGTACAACATTAGCCCACTGGCTTAATGTTAGCTTATAACCAGCTGTTGTTGTTTAGCTGACTTGTTCTCAGCTGTCTTCAACTGCTGATAATAAGTGATAATTGTGATGTCGAGAATAAAACCATATTTAAACCGTTTTCATGTCTTAGAGCCCTGACTCCAGGAAGAGGATGATGTTTTATCCAGATCACGCTCTGTCTTTCCTTCACGTTTTCACTTCTTTGGTGAAGGGACTCTTTTTTTCAGATAATAAAGGTATGGTCCTTCATATCTTAAATGTTAAAATTTGCTTCCACAGCATGCAAACGTGCGCAATTTCTTACTGGCCATATGTTCAGTATTTAGCCACATACAAAAAAAATGGGATCAGCACCTGCTCCTATGTATTTATAATGGATGAACATATGTCTATATAATGTTTCAAAACACATAGCCATGACTGAACGGCACCATCTACTAAGTTGGACAGCACATGCAACTCCACTTGTATGCACAGCAACCTTGTGCAGCGCAACATTCAGTGTGGTTGGTGTCTTGTATTGCCAAGCTCTTGAATTGTTCAGACCCGCTATAACACACGTGCACTCAAGGAAAACTGCCCAAGGATACTGGAATACCCAAACATTGATGCACCGACCACCTGCTGAACTGACCGTATAAATGCACGAGGCTGTTTTGAGATGACTTCCAAGCTGCTATTAGCAATACTTAAATTAATCAGCACCCTGAGGAAACTGTTGTTGGGATTTGATAGTGGATTGCATGGTATGTGTTTACTTTATTTATTTAAATATTTTACACTAAAGGAAATGTGTTTATCTTGTTACTGTATATCTTTATTTTTCTGTCTTGTAACTGCCCTAAACACTGGACTCCTGTTGAGAGTTACATTATTGCTGCAACAAAATCTTACTTGCGATGATCCAATGCAAGGGTTCTCATTGTGTAGCCTGCAGGCAAGGAACCACAGTAATGTTTCGTGCAGTCTGTGAGTGCCACGAGAACAGTGTGCAAAATTGTACATTTTATCCGTAGCTCAACAACAGCCTCAGATATTTAATGCACATCCATCTGATGTGAGAAGTTTTAATTAATAGGTGAAACGTGCACATTTAAGCTGATTTGTTTCTCACATCTGTAACCAGATAAACATAAAAAAGACAGAAGAATAAATCATATTTTCTTGTGTGTCTGTGTGAGTGATATTATGAAATGACAAAAGTGGAAATAATATTTTCAAAGCAAATACAGAATGCCTGAGATTTTCATAGAATTATCTTCCAGGTCAGTAATAAGGACATATCTACCATAAGCTGGTAGATATTGGTAGAAAAATTGCCAGAAATGAGCAAATAAGTGTTTAATTCTCAAAATTCTCCGGTGGAAACTGTACTTGGTGTTTCACACCCTGTTTGATTTCTACTAAAATCATATGGTATTCAGCAGGCCCTAAAATTCTAATAAAACCTCAGACATAACAAGACATAATATATATCACACCAAGTCATTATTCATTTGTCAAGAACTAAAGCAGAACAAAGAAGCATTTGGAAGTGCATCCTTGCTACTTTTATAAGAAGAAGAGAGTAAATAACACCTAAGTGCTGTTAATCAGATACACTTGATTAATCTTCATCAATAATCTTAGTTGCTGCCCATCAGTTTGGCAATGGTTACATGGACAATTCGAAGTCCATCATTATTATTAAGATTATTCACAAGTGAAAATTATTTAAGAGAGTTGCCAATCTTCCCAGGACTGGACGTCTCATCAAATTCACCCCAGGGTCAACCCATGGAGTCCTCAGTTACTATAATAAACCCCCAGTTAGCATTCTGTGTGAGCATCTCCCTAAACCCACCTGCACAGAAGGAGCATATGGTGACAACTTTGAATGTGCAGTGAAGGTCAGGAGGCTCCTCCTGGTGGCTGAAGAGTGTGGTGTTGGAGGCAGGGCAGTTATGACTGTGTTCTCTGGGTGTGACGCGCTGAGAGCTGTTGGGTTGTCTGAACAGATTTGGCTGATGTCCACTCGGAGCTGTTCCAGGAGTGCCGGAGACACTGCCCTGTGAAACACAGATTGTATCATTTTGGAAATAGAAAAAAAACCCCTGTTGTTTTATTTTCTAATGTTTCTAATTAAACCCATGGTTTTGTAGGCAGAGGACAGTTACAGGCACCATCATTTACAGTAACGTTTGGAATGATGTCATCAGGGGGCGTCGCTCTTGAAACACTGGCAGCTTAGCCCAGCCCTGTAATTGTTTGGATTTTCACTTGATAAAAATACCTTTTTAAAGATGTTTAGTATATTTGATAGTAAACAAACTGTCTCACAGCTTCTGCTTTTACTGTGTTATAATTAAACTGTGTCATCTCTGTCTTATCTGTTCTCCTCTTCTTCCCCTTTCCTGCTCTCCTGGTGTCCCATCAGTCTGCTGCACTCTTAATCAGCTCTGCGCTCTCCTCCTGTTCTCTCTCCTGTCCTGGTTGTAAAAAGAAAGCATCACCCTGAGCCAACCTATGCAAATCACACACTTTAAATCTGAAAGGAAAACAGTAAGTACTTTAATACTCACTCTCAAGCATCTGATTACAATAATCAATAATCCAGAGAATGCTGCCAATGCACTGAAAGCACACTTTGCACAGTGGAATATTATCAGTCATAGATTAAGCTCCCCAGCTTCCAAAACTCACAGCTCCTTCATTGCTGACCATTTTGAGTCAGAATAAATGAATATTAAGACAATTAGGCAACACTGTATCCACACAAGTGTTTTATAATTACAAATACGTGCCATAAGTATGATACATGCGATTAGCAAAGATCCATTTTCATGGTCTTAGTGGACGCACGTTATGAATAATACATAACAGTAATATTACAGCTAAATCTGATGTTTTCACAGTGATTGGCTGAATACGCTCCATGGATGCATATTTCCATGAATGATATGGTTCGGTTTCCTCCCATAACATTAACGTGGTGTGGTTTGCTGCAGTACAATTCTAATTCTAATTGCATTTTTTATTTTTATTTTGTTATGCTCCTTCACTCACTTTATTTTGCTGTCTCTGTTTTTCTGATGAGGACGTTACTTTCAGAGATATTAATGAAGGAAACGCTCTTTTCAATTCACACATCTTTTCATTCCCAATCCAAGACCTTAACTGGTGAAAAGGGCAAATTTCACCCTTCCACTAATACATTTTATAATTGCTCATTATTTCTATTAATTTTTTCATTAATGTGCCGAATTTAAATGTTGCTGCTGGACTTAGAGTATTGTGTTTTTTCCCTTAGGGCATCTTTGTATGTAAAAGCAGAGAATGTGAGTCCTGTAGCTCAGATAAATGTCTCCATTTCACAACACGGTTTACTGTTGCTGAACTTTCAACAGTGGCTACAATATTCACACATCTGGAACTTCTAGTACTGAACATGTGATCGATTATTTAGATAGATGCTTACACTAATATTGGCCCAAGACCACAGGTGAAAACATCCCAAATAGACCAAATCTGATGACGCCATAGCCCCGACACTACATACTGCCCTCTCGCACCTGGAGAAGAGAGACACATATGTGAGAATGCTGTTTGTAGATTAGAGCTCAGCATTCAATACCATCGTTCCCTTGAAGGAAACTGCAGGATCTAGGACTGAGCAGCTCTCTCTGCAGCTGGATCCTCAACTTCCTGTCTGACAGACACTAAGTGGTCAGACTGGGCAGCATCACCTCATCCCCCTTCATAATGAACACTGGTGCTCCAACAGTGCTGCTGTGGAGAGAGTGAGCAGCTTCCATGTCCTAGGTGTATGTACATGTGGTGGAGGATCTCACATGGTCAGTTCAAACATCAAAACAGTGAAGTGACTCTTTCTCAGGAGACTGAAGAGATTCGGCATGAGCCCCCCCGCATCCTCAGGACCTTCTACCGCGGTGCCATTGAGAGCATCCTCACTGGATGCATCACCGCGTGGTATGGCAACAGCACCGCTTACAACCGCAAAGCTCTCCAGCGAGTGGTGCGGTGTGCTGAAAGGATAGTTGGAGGTGAGCTTTCCTCCCTCCAGGACATCTACAGGAAGCGGTGCAAGGATGATCAAAGACTCCACCCACCCCAGTCATAAACTGTTCAAACTACCTCCATCTGCCTGATGGAGGTACTGCAGTATCTGGTCCCAAACTAGGAGACTGAGGGACAGCTTTTTCCATCAGGCCACCAGACTGCTGAACAGTGACACTTCATTGGCACCTCACTCTCACTTACCGGAACTTCAACTGGCATTCCTGCCCTTATATTTGGCTTGTTTCTTATGTTTCTTGTATTTTTGCACACCACTGTTGCTTGTGAAGCTTGCACACAAGAATCTCACTCTCATGTGCTGTACCAGTGTACCAGTAATGTGACGTGACAATAAAAGTGATTTGATTTGATTTGGCAGGAGGGGCCACTGGTGGGTAGGCAGCAAATTTGGGGGGTTGCCAGTGCCCCCTTGTATAATAGAATATCTATTTGATGGAGACAATCAGACAGATAAAATTCTTCTTCTCTTTCTGGTCTTGCTCTTGTTCAATCACCATTATTTCATAATATTAAATATGTGCTGGAAGCAAGAAGTGATGTGAAATTACAACTTTTTAGGCTCAAGTTTCTAAATGTTCTGTTTTTCACTGTTTTTTGATTGTAGATTAAAATCAAACTAAATTAAAGCGTTTTTCATACAATCATTGGTTCTAAAACATGAACAAAGGGATAAACTCCACCTCCTGTCATGACATTAATGATTGACAGGCAAAAGTGACCAATAGGAACATGCTAAGCGCGAGCCACTTTGTTGTTGCATTCAAAGGTCATCATGGAAAAAGAAGCTTCATAGCACATTAGTCGAAACGACATTTTTTTTTAATGTCGAACGAACATTCACAGAAAAATGTTTAGTCATTCGAATCATCGTCTCACATGCAGAATAAAATATGACTTTTTATGGCAAAAGGAAGTCTCCGGTCTTACACCGTGGAAGTCTAGAGTGGTTTATTGAAAATAGAGCCGTTGCTGATGGTTATGGAAATACCATCCCGTTTTTTCCCACGTATCTGGAAGGCAGCAATAGGCCGGCACAGGGGACAGGACAACATGGCTGCTTCTGCGGGCCGATACTACGGAGAAGGTGGCAGAGCAACGAAAAGACAGAAAACTGAAGACGGAGGAATGACAACGGTAAGTGTTTCCTTCTGAGTCCGGTAGTTGGTGTTTTAGTGTGCTTAAATGGGCTAGTTTTGTTTATCTAAGAAACAAATATACTTTGTAGCAAAAGTAGTGCTTGTCTCACCGCTAGCCAAAATTAAGTAGCTAACTAGCTAGCCAAACCAAACAAGCCAATGGTATGGTCAGATTTCGTTTAAACAACAGTAATTGCATGTTTATTGTGTAATATGAAATAGCTGTTTAATGACACGCAGTTTCACTGTGTGTACAGATAGAAGACACGTTTTAGTTTCAGTGTTGCAAAAAAACTCTGTTGCAGTTTAACGTTGTAAGTTTCCAACGCAAATCCCCAGTGCAGTTATTGTTAAAGGGCTGATTGACACAGATTGGCTGTTTTTGTGTTGTTTATGTCTCAGCAAACATTATCTTGCGTTTCCTTTTTTTTTTTTTTAAATTAAAAAAAAATAGGAGAGCTACGATGACCCTCACAAACCGCTCCCCTCCCCGGTGGTGCATATCAGGGGTTTGGTGGACGGTGTCATGGAGGCTGACCTGGTGGAAGCCCTGCAAGAGTTTGGCACCATCAGGTAAAAGCTGAACACACTTAAAATGAAGCTTCTCTATCGTGTTTGTTGCATTCAGTGGACTGAGATTGGTGAACATGTCTGATGTCAACCATACACTCCCGTATGTTCCACAGAATATTAACAACTAACAAAAAAAAAGGTATTGAGCTGATTTAATGTTGGTTCTTGTTAATTTCATATTCCCTAACTCAATTTATAACACTAGTTTAGGTTTGATAAGTTATGGGCAAAGTAAGTTTGCTTGTAACTAAATTCAAGTTGTGTAGTTTTAAAATTAATAGGCTGATTGTGCCTTTATTCATTAAACATGGTTCAGTGTGGGAACTATAAATCTTTCTCTTGCTTAATGTCTAGTTTTGTGGTTATGATGCCCAAGAAGCGGCAGGCCCTGGTGGAGTATGAGGACATGAACGGCTCCTGCAATGCTGTTACTTATGCAGCAGAGAACCAGGTTTACATTGCAGGTCACCCTGCCTTCATCAACTACTCAACTAGTCAGAAGATTTCCCGACCAGGAGACTCGGATGACACTCGGAGCGTCAACAATGTTCTGCTGCTCACAATTATAAACCCCATCTATCCCATTACCACGGTAATGTAAAAACATCTTCTTATAATTTATTACTGTATATTCCCACAGATCATTCAGTGAATTCATTGTTAGATATCAGGTATCTGATAATGCTAG